ATGTACTTCTTCCATTCAGTTCTTAAAAATAACTGACTGCTTTTGAAAGTCTTGGCTATATGGGTGGAAAATATAACATTGTCTTTTCACAGTTGTTTCTTAATTAACTCCAGGGAGTTAGAACTATTTAAAAGAGCTAATTGCAAGCCACTTAATTAGAGCTTCTCAGGTGGCTTCCACTTGAGAGCCAAGTAACACATCTTCTTCCATCCAGTTTTTATTTCCAAGACTTGAACTAATAAGAGGTGTATATATGCGTCGTAGTACTAAGAACTTACATATTTTTTTCAAGTAACTTCTTTCATGTATCTCTCTAGTCTGTATTTTGACAGTGCTGAAACATAAGCAGTGAAAACAAAGATAATTTACCAAAAAAATAGCTTTCAGAATACTCTTTATTTCTCTGTAGAACTTAGGTTGGGTTTAGGCCTTCAGGGGAATGGTCTTTGGCTTTTTAAAAAGTCAATTATTGCAAAAATGAATAATCTTTGATGTGTGTGTATGAACATTTTTTTTTTTTTTGGTAGGTTTGGGAAGGACTCAATGTGGTTAAAACTGGCAGAACGATGCTGGGGGAAACTAATCCTGCAGATTCTAAGCCTGGTACCATCCGTGGGGACTTCTGCATTCAAGTGGGAAGGTTGGTGCTGAAATAATCATCCATGCAAACTAAGTTTTCATGCTGCCTATACTTATTTCTGCACACTCTTCCTTTTTGGAAAGCTTAGGCAGTTAGACGTAAGAATCCTATTCTGAAAGTATTTTATTTTCAGGTCATGACCTACTACAAAAACCATGTAAGAAAGTGACTCAGTATCATGAATTTTACTTCATTTGAAGTACAATAAATAGTTCAAGGTAATGGTGTTAATTAGTTAGAGCTGTATTTTCAGTAGAACTGTGTCCCTATACTCTAGGCTGTGACTAGTTGGATATAGTGTGGGGGCTTTAAGAGCTGTAGTTCTAGCCTTTCAGCTGTAGATGCATCTCCTCACTCTTTTCCCCATGTAGGAAAGTCATTAATTTCTGAACATTATTATTATTTTACTCTGAAATTCTGTGTTTTCTTTGCTTTTACAGGAACATCATTCATGGCAGTGACTCTGTAGAGAGTGCACAGAAGGAGATTAACCTTTGGTTTAAACCCTCAGAGCTTGTTGATTTCAAATCTTGTGCTCATGACTGGATCTATGAGTAAAATAAGTTTCCATGATGGATGGTGCCGCCTTAACACAGCATCTCATTCCAGCAACTATTGAACTGGGAACAACTATCATCCCTGTTACCTTTACCATGAACTTGTCAACGCTATGAAATAAATGGATGATAGGAACTAATTCTGTGTGGTGTCTTTCCCTATATGCTAGTGGATGTATTAAGTAGAAATTTGCTCAAGTATGCAACATCAGGAATATTTGTTGTATGTAAACAAACAAACAACAACCCCCAAAAAACAAAAAAACCACCTATGATGTAGGCTGCTGTGAGTAGAAAAGCAAGTAAAGTCCCTGGCTTACTAACTTTTAATTGCTGACTATCAAAGAAATTAATTTTATTTAAGCCTGAAAAACCTAATTCTGACATGCTCAAAACTGGCTCAAGCACTGACACCACTTATGCAAAACACAACTGCCATGAAGAGAGTGGTGGCCTTGCTTGACCCATCCATCTGAAACAAGCAGCAGAAAGCACTGAGCTAGAACTTGCCAGTTGTGTATGAAGATTTTCAAGTACTCTGAAAACAAGGTATATAGGTACAGAGTGGAGGGAACAGCAGACTTTTTGGGGTGTTTTATACAGGTTGGAAGTTTCGTTGGTGTTCTCTCATTAGACAAAGGGACAGGTGAATGCAATAGAATGCTTAATTACTATTTAAAATGGACCCAGGACAATTTTTACAATCTTTTCTCCGATGCCTGAAGAAGGGTGCTTGTGCCTGAACGCTTGCAATTAAAGAGATTTTTTTTGCAAAATCTAGCTGGTCTAATAAGAGGTATCACCCCTACACTAAGGTCTGATTCCTCTTGCCTCCAAACCAATATGGCTACAACCTAGATATCTAATTTAAGAGGGTTTTTTTAAAAAGAGAAAATAGTGCACAGAGACAAGTGACTTGTCAAAGCTGACAAGGCAGCTTAGTAGCTGAATGCCAGACCAGCACTCATCTGGTCTTGTGCAAGCAATGGAAGAAAAGACCTAAATATGAACGACTTTCCTGTTTTTCATAGTGGGAGGAGGAGGAAACAGAGCCAGGCAACTAAATTGAGCTTAAGTCATTTCAGTTGCTCACTGCATGGCTTGTTAAACTGCAGTTGAGGATTAGAATAACTTCCATGCCCAATTTAGTTCCCAAATACGGCTCTGATAAAAGTGCCACAGGCAGGCATTCAAACTATCCAGACGGTGGCACTTAAGAACAGCTTACTTGAGCTTTCCTCCGCCAGATGCCGTTCCCCACCAGCTATGCCATCAGAGGGCTGCACTGGCTAGGATTTTTTCTGTTCATTCTGCTTTACCTCCCTCTTCACAACCATCAAGGGAAAAAATTGCTTCGTTGAAAACAAACTCATCTTCTGAAGACTTACGAATCCTGCAGGACTGTAGAATAGATAGGGTACATGCTAGGGCATTTTCCACACTTAAGTAATATAGAGACACACTTAAGATGGGCTGTTTTGTTTTTTGGGGGTTTTTTTTAAACTCAGAAACCAATAGAGTAGCTGCTTATTCTGGTATAATGATACATACAGGAGATTAACTAAGCAATTGTATGCAACTCTAGGGAGTAGTAGGAATTTAAGATTTGTTTACCTTCCTGCAAAGTGCCTTGCCTTGTTTTTGCTGGGTTTACAACCGGCTGGTTCTTCCTCCTAGGCATAATTAATCGTTATTCAAGTATGACTATCAAGTCTGTATGTCAGATAAATATGTAACCAGAAGAATAAATGGGCTGGGGTACTGAAAACAAGTTACCAGAAACTAAATCGTTACAGTTTATTTAACAAATTTATTTTGTTCTTTATAGTTCATATGCTGTTAGACTTTTCTGTGCCAATATTATGTTTCAACTGAAATAGAATTTCCCTCCCTGGCATTTACTCTAAATGTATTTGTAGAAACCAATCATGTTTCCTCTGTCCTCAATGTGGGTGGCTAGTGGCTAAAGGCAAGCTATTGTCTCCCTCATGTGACAGGCTTTCCGTTCCCCTGATCATCCCACTAGCCCTCTCTGCAACTGTTTCAGTCTGAATTCATCTTTCTTGAGCATCAGTTTGCATCAGGTTTGTACAAGGTATTATATTTTAATGGCATTAATACTTCCTTAACATGACTGAAAATGCCTTGTCAAGTATTTCACTTACCTTTATTGGGACCCATCACATTGGTGACTCAGTCATTCTGCGACTGGTTAGTTCACTTTGGTTCTTCTCTTCCTCTGTCGCTTTTGATCAGGGAGTCTTAGTTTATAGGAGGAATCCTTGTCATAGACTTAGAATATGATCTCTCTCTTTGTACTATTACGTATCATCCCATTTTTGGCAATCTAGCCCTCAAGTTTGTCCAAAGTCCTATTTTTTTGCATACATTTTTATTGAGAAACCACGCTAAAAAATCTTTGGCCATCTTTACTGGACCAATATAACTAGAATTGTATAGCTGAGATAGAATTAGACAATGTTTTGCATTGGAAAGTTTGGAAAACCACCACGCCGAGTCCTGCCAAAACTATTCCATCTCCACAAATCCAGTACCAAAAAAGAATTTAACATCTATACGGGTGTTCAGAGACTAAAGCATGATCCACGTCCAACATACTTGAGAGTGTCCTTAGAACCCTGACTTTCTGGGAACATCTATACAGCAGCAAAGGTCAAATCCTGGAACAATTTCCTAGCCAAGATCTGCAGCCACAGCACTGGATCTCAGCTCTTGTCCCATCATACTCAGCAGCAGAGTAGTGTGCACATGTCTGGCAAAAGTCACCAAACGCATATCTTGTCAACATTCAGCTGAATGCAACCACGCATATAACGAACCTCCGCTCAACCCCCGTCCCCTGGCTTCCCGGTCCTTGCAAATATCACTTCCCTACACATGCATTGACTGATGACGACCCAAAGGTTGGTCGAAACCATTTGTGCTGCACCATACCTACCACCCTACGATGACCTGTTTAATCCACTCAAGGCTTGCCTTCCTTTGCAACTTCCCTTATGGAACAACCTCCCTGACCGGGATCTGTCTGCAGCTGCCCCCTGAGTCAAAGAAAGTCACAAACAAGTTCCTTGTGACAAACCCCACTTATCAACCTGCTGGCTTTGAACCATCATAGCAAGAGTGGTCCCTGCTAAACAGAGCAAGTGGGGAAGGAGAAGTAGAGAAGGGAAAATACACCTGGTTACCACCAATTAGCAATAAACAACTTTTATAGTCAAAGTATATGAAATGTATAATGGTACTAGTAGTAATAGACATGCAAGGGAAAACAAACAAAAACAATTACAGTATTACCTTGGTTTCATTGAGTATTCGGGGAAACCTAGCTTAACAGATAAATCTCAGGTTCAGAAATCTACGCCTACAGAAAAAAAAGAGAAAGAGCGAGAGCTGGGATCTCACCATTACAATGCACTCGGGTTGTCTGCTGACAGGTAAAGTTCTTAGCATGATCGTTGAAGGTTAAACAGATGATGGAAAGAGATGACCCGTTTCTTCCAGCTTCTTGAGAACAACAGCAGATGGTGTCAGAGAGATCTCTCTCTTGAAGCACACTGTTTGCTGCTTTTACTGTTTGCTGCTTTTTTATACCCTTTTATACTGTTTGCTGCTTTTTTATACCCTTGGTCCAGCCTCTTCAAAGCATTCTTTTAATTGTGTAAATAATTCTTTTTTCTAGTGACAAGGGGTTATCTGGTTTGGAGCATCTCAAGAAACTGATTAACAACCAGGAAAAATGTATGGTTTTAAGAAGTAACCAGACACTTAAGAGCCAGCTTGAAATTCTTATGAATAAAAGATATGCTGGATGGGATACCGTATTGTTTCTTCTCAGATGGCCTAGCTATACTTGCAGCATCAGGTTTTTGTATTTTACCTGTAGTGAATAAGCCTCAGTTTAGCATGACTTCCAGATCTTACTTAAAGGGATGGATTACTTGGAGTGTTCATAAACTTTGTGGGGAGGGCTTCCACCAGTCGTCCCGGGAAAAGTATGACAGCATTTGTGGTCAGGGCTCCAACGAGCTGGATGCTGTGATGAACCCTTAACCATTGCTCAAATATTGCCCGTAGCCACTCTGACTCGCTCTCTTGCCTCAGCATTCCCTAACCTGGCAACCGAGTTTTAGTCAATCAAGTTTAAATAGGCCTCCCACATTGGGACCGGGGAATGTACGGCCTGAGCTGCCTATTACACTTTTCTTCTGCTTAGTTCTGGGTAGATGAGAGGGTGTGTGTGTGTGTGGGGGGGGAGAGTCCATATTACGTCCAGCAAGCTGGGTGCCAGGCCTCCCTCAGGAAGACAGAGCTGACAGGTAACAGAAGCCACAATGTGTTTAAACATATACCTGGAGAACAAAAAAAAAAAGTCACTATCCACACTGTATTACTTTAACATTTTTATTTTGTGTAAAAAAAGGCAAATTTAGTGAATTATTTTCATCTTGTACACAAAGTTATAATTTTAATGCTTTTCACATCCATGCTGAAAATCTGCAGTCTGGTAAAAATGAAAGTAACATTAATTTCTCCAAAAGCATTTTTCACTTAGTTATGTACATTTCATGAGAAAGTTTTAAATACTCTCTCTCATTGACCACACAAATTACCAAGAAAATAAAAGATTAAATTTGTACAGATATTGATCTATATATCAAATACATACAGAAATGATGTAAAAACCCTATTCTTTTATCTTGATTCCCGCCCCAATATATTTTCCCAGGGGCAAAAGCTGATGCTCTTTTTTGTATAAATGGCTGTGGCTTTTTTTTTTTTAAATATGAAAATTAAAAGGAAGAAAAATTCATTTTAAATCACAGTTTTTTAATCCCTTCCCAATAAAGGATTGTTACCAAATATATTAGCACCATAGTACAAATATTGATGGGAGAGGGTATTCACATCACATAAAACAATAATAATAATAAAAACAAACAAACACTGAAACCCGTGTTAGTATCCGTAGAACAAGAAGTTGATAATTGCTCTAGCTTTCCTCGGACAGAGCAAAGAAAAGGTTAAAGAGTTGCATTTAAAATAATATAAGATCAAAGTCAGCAGTAAAATTTTGGGCCATAAAAGAAGGGGCAGTTTCAAAGCCAGTTACATGGCTTGCACCGCCCCTTGGTTATAAAAACCTGCTATGCCAAATACAGCAATGACTGGTTGCCAGCAGAGATTTAAGACCAAACATATCTCACCCTTTTAGCCAAGTACCATGGTTCAGAGTAAAACGAAGGAAGAAAATGCTTAGAACCATGTCCATTAAGGCTAATGCAAATACAGTGAAGCCTATACTAAGGATACCAGGGCTAACAGGTAACCCACTGTTTTAAGAGACCACTTTAAAGACCCTCCTCCAAGATAACTAATACAATTTTGCTCAGGGTTTTACTGAAATAAACCTCCCCAAGCAATTTTAGCTGGCTTCTCATGCAGTTTGCGTAGGACAGGTTTCACTGTACTTGACAGGTGAAGGATTTAGGTATACTTTGGATTCAGAATCGAGTGAATTTCCACCCTCAAATACCCACCTACAGTTCCCACGAAAGTCACTCCCATGTATCTGTTGGTGGAATTCAGCTCATAGGCAATAGTGTTTAGTTTTCAAATACCCAGGGTTACAGAACACTGTACATGTCGACAGACCGCGGACATGGCATGTGCACCTTGTCCTCTGCCCCAGAGATGCATTTTACTAAAAGATAAATATTCCTCCCAAAACCTGCAATCTGACTCCAGTCACAGTAGGGTTACTAATAAGTATCCTTAAGAATCCACGTTCTCGAGGTAGGCCCAGGACTCTGGATTTCTTGCTGTCATGGTATTTACTTGCTCGCTACAGGCCCACTCCTTTTCACAGTAAAGAACATTAATGCAATAGTGTTTCCCCGAAAATCAGCGGAGCTACGTTTGTCAGTAAGTACTACTTTATATACGAAGGGGCCTTATGAAGCCAGATACATACATCTACCGTGCTCTGCAGGACTGATTCTTTCAGCCTTAATGATGCTGAGCATTTCTATAAAACAGGCAACTAGTTCCACTGAAGTAGGTGCACTACTCGATCTGTATGAAAGCTGGCAGAACTGGACTTTGTGATGTCACAGGGAAAGCATAAGCACACTTGAAACACACTGAACTACCCATATTACACTGACTTGGAAATCCAGAATCCTGGGCTTGCTTCTTCCCCCTTTCCTAAGCTTAGATCGTCAACTATGGGCATGGATAGATGTAACAGATATACTCTGAATGACACCAGTACAAACTGTTGCTATAACAGTTATTTCTGTCCACACTTGCACCATTTAAGTGGACTAAACTGCTCAAACTTGGAACAGGTTTGAACAAAACAGGTTTAGCATTACTGTGGATTAAGACCACGTATACTAGTTGCTCCCAAGCAGCAAGCTTCCCATCCCTTTTGGAATGGCTTTAAGTTAAATCTATCTATAGCCTATATTGCAGCCCTTGCTTTGGAAGGTTCAGATTTTTGGGGGTGGGGGGAGCAAATGTCTGGGGGAGGGGGCACAGAGAGGCCAGTCAACCTTGACAGAGTCTAGATTTTAAATGTAGGTATTTTAGAGAGCTAAAATGTCTTTGCCCCCTGTGTTCACAGATAGTTGATGCCCGATAACAAACTTTGAGAGAAGAAACAGTGGTCAAAAAGGGGTCAAGCATTACAAAAATTTGCCTGGGGGAGGGAAGAAGAAAATAATTTGAGACATTTCTACACTATACAGGACAAATTTTACTTCCAGTAGTAAATACAAAACTTTACATCATTAACCCCTCTTGCATAGAATGAGGTAAACCTGTGCATATTACCAATGCTATGTACCCAAAGTTAGAGCCACATTTTAGAAAATAATCAAATTGCTGGTTTTCAACTTTCTATGCATTTCTTTTGAAAAGTTCAAACGATAATATACCAAAAATGGTCTCCTGGGGCTCTGTGGGTTGATATCCTTAAAGTGTTCCTTAGGCTGAGAGACCACAGAAGCTAATCATTTCTGATTAATTTCTTCTAAGCCCATACCTTATGGTCAAGAGTCGTATGCTCATGGTACTGGTCTGAAGGGGACCTGCTAAGACCCAGAAGCACTTATAGAACATATGTAGTTAATTCCTGAGAGTTTAGTTAATGAACCTTAGTGGTAAAAGCTAAAGTTCGTGCACATTTTTCCAGTCACAACTCTGCAGGTTTGGACGATCAGTTTGCTAGTCCACTCCAAGAATGAGGCCACCTGCTAAAATCCAAATTCATTTAACATGGGGGGGGGGAAACAGACCATTCAGCTATTAAAATTCCCTTATATTCTGCTGCTACTCCCTATATTTTCAAAGGTTTTTTTATTTAAATTTTCTAGTTAAGATGTCTGGAGCAATGGGATGCCTAAAGTGAGACTGAAAAGATCCCAGAATTCCATCTAGAACCAAACAACTCCAATTTACAAAAAAGGCAAAATACTTGCTTTGCAACTGAACTCCCATATTTTACTCTCCAACTCGTATAGGGAAAGCAAAGCATTACAGCACCTGAAGAACTCATAGTAAATATTTGCCTTTCTACTATATATTTTTCTAGCTGAAAGGAAACATTGCTTTTGCTGGTGCCAGCATACCTGGATGTTGAGCAAGATCAAAAGGAAGTGTCAAGGTTTTTCTGGGGGACAGAAGTAAAGAAAAGGTCCTCAGAGTTTTCCCTCTTTTCCATACAGGCTTAACTAGAGAATGGTCCTGAGTTATTCTCTATCTCAATCTCACTAGTTTAAAACACGCAGTCTCATCAAATTTGATCAACAAGAGACTCTGCTGTAAAGTTCCAGTTTAGCTTAAGGCTCTGTAAACATGTGCTTGAGCATCCCAAAGCGAAGAGACATTCATGTATGGCTAAAAGATGCATTAGTCCCAGCCCAATGCCCACTGCAGTCAATAAAGATATTTTCACTGATGTTGAAGGACACTGAATCAGGTCCCGAATAAGATTATTTAAAAGACTTATTTAATAAACCTTATTTACTTTACGTAATTAAAAACCACCATGAAAAGTTTAAAATCTCCCTTATATGACTGTCCCACTGATATTGGGCCTGCTTACGGGAGTATGGTGCAACAGGACTGGCCTCCCTAAGTCATTTGTGCATGCTATTTTTGCCCTCCAAGACAGGGCTTCACTTCCATATTTCACAATTAAAAAACCAGAGGTGTGACTCGGTGCAGTTCATGAGAGCCTAACATCTCCCAACTTGTACCAAAAAGGTTCATTCATAACGACAGTTCATTTGTATTTGCCACTCTATTCTCCTCAAACAGCTTCCTGCAATCCTGCTAATTAAACTTTAGTCTTACCAAAAATTAGAATTTCAGTTCTTGTTAACAATGCACAATAAATCTGAACTTGAAAATATTACAAAATTCTTTCAAAAGCTTCAAATACAACACAAAAAAGTCCATTTTCATTTTTAATAAATTGAAAAAATCTTTTTTCACTAAAATAGTTTCCTTGCCCTTCCAAAAAATTCTGAACTGAGTCTCATCTACAGTTAGCAAAGTGCCCCAAGTACAGCTGTGCAACTGTACCATCAAAGTGGGAACAAAATCAGTCAGTCTTGTAGAAAGGCTCTTTTTCCTCTATCACCAACACCCTGCCCCTCACATTTCTGAGATGCCTTAAGGTTCCTGTTTGATGTAGTAACTGGCAGACCCATTGCTTTCCTGATCAGATGCTCCTTGAAGAAAACTATATTCCTCTCCGTCTAGAAACTCCTCCTTCAGCTGCAGTGAAGTCACTAAAAATAAAAGTGAAAGTTAAAGGCTTGTAAAGGTTCAAAATAACTGTACAGGTTTCCTATTAATTTAGCTAAAAATGTACTGATGTGGTTTTTTCCCCCGCTACATAAAATTTGTGTTTTCAAGTAAGCAGGCAAGTGTTCCTGCTCAGTTTACTGGTTAATACAGTGATGTTCGGGTTGCTAAAATTTAGATAAGTTTTGCCCCCCAAATTCTAACTGTCTATACCTGTTCAATAAAATACATTGTTCTAGGTTTGTACATCTAAAAAGTGCAGTTATAAACAGAAAATGACTGCTGGGTTCCACACTAACTTTCTTCCCAGTCCGGCCAATGTGACTTAGGCTCTGGGGAAAATGTATCAAATAAACTCCCTGGGCCAAGTTGTGATCTACGTTTCACAGCTCTTCCAGTAAGATAAATGGCATAATCAGAACTTATCTGACACGCTGCTGCTTACTCTTCCATAACTGGATTATCTCTGTGGTGCTAACAGTAAAGCAAGCAAACATTTAAATCACAAATTTACAATCCATTTCTACAGTGCACTCCTGGCAAAGACCTAAATGCACCTCTCTCAGAGGTATTAATGAATTATGAGCTCACCTTGTGAGGCAGGTAGGTATTAGACCCATTTCACAGATAGGAAAAATAGGTGGGGAGAGGCTAGAAGTGCCCAGGTGAGGTCTAAGGCACAGGAAACAGAACCCAGATTTTCTTATTTCATGTCCTGTATTTTGACAATCTTTCTCCAACACTCCCACAAAGAACATGCCATTGACTTTTCTGACCAAAAAAACTGCACTTGACATGTTAGAGTAACTCTGCTGTAAGAGTCCTCTGCTTCCCCCAAATTCATTTTTGCTTCAAGAATTCCATGTTAACACCTCTGGTTAAGACTGTAATTGAAACCATAAACAGATTACCCATGGCTTAGAATAACTCTTGGACAATAAAAACAGTAGACCTGAGTTTATATTAAAATGAATCTGTCTATAATGGCTAGCCAATAAGATATGCTAAAATTACTGAATTCCTAATCAATCATGTTGCGTGGCAGAGCCATCTACGTTCTAACAGAATTGAATTAAACTCTTTTTTCTTTCCAAAGTCTGCCTTTCTTTGCAGTCTGATAAAACAGCCACCTTAGCATAAAGAAGGGACTGATAGAAAAACAAGGAGAGGTATTTTAAGAAATTTTAAATTAAGCCTCACTTTCCTAAGCATAAAAGGAATGGTTAAATAGAGGACATAATGGAAAGGTGGTCTCTTTGTGAACATGGGATGCAATATTATTAGGCCAATCAAAAAAAGCTTTTCTAATTCTAGTATCTCATTATAAAAATTATTTCTAGCTAAAGGACTGATTGCAATCTAACATTTTCCTCTGATGAATGCTGTGCTTAGAGAGAGTAAAAATGTCCATGTGTACCATAGCAGACCTGGCATATTTGGACTGGTTTAGAGAACAGGCTATTTCTAACCAGCTACACTCCCACTGCTTAGCTGGGAAAAGTGCAGGCACGGTTTGGCTTTTGAAGGTCTCTGGTTGTTAGCACTTTGCATTCTCTTTCTAAGCCTTCGGCTTATAAAAAACTGCCTTTATGCCCTGTCAGGACACGACACACTCTGTAGGATGAAGGTATGACAAGACTTCTCAGAAAGTCAATGGCCACAGATTTCTCTAGTCTATTGTTTCCTTTCAGCTTATTTTAGAGAAGAAATACTGCTGAGCATTTCAGCCAGCAGGCTTCATGGGAATGAAGTAGTGCAATCTGAAAGATCACTATGGGCATGAGGCAAATGGTTGGTCTGATTCCTATTTATATTCTTGGTGCTAAGCGGAAGGCGGTTAGACTAAGTCCCAGACACTTTAGGTACTGGACTGCTGAATAAGTGACAATTTCTATCCTGAACTCTCCGTACTCTGTAAATTCTGCACGTTCAGGGCAACAGGTTGTCGAGTGCATCCTATAAGCAGGACACGTTACATTAAAGCCTACCAGGAGCTTCATTAGCATGGAGACATGGGTACGAGCAGGTCTAGCTGCAAGAATGTGGCCTCAGTTTTCAAATACAAATGTGAATGGTTGCATTCTGCCTGGGAATACGTACACAGCTTTCCAACTGACTTGAATGAAGCTGCATGCATCTTCAAGAACAGAATCTGGTGTTCACCATTTATGCAGCAAGAGAACGTGGGCTGTTACAAGGGGAAGAGCAGTCCAATTCTCCTCACGTGCTCTGTCCCTGGCACAATTGTTTGTCAATTTTTCAGCAAGATGGCTGTTTTTAGGAACAGACTGAGAAACGCAGACTTCATCTGAAACCAACATCTGAAGGCATAACTCACAGTTTGGGCCCACAGGAATAAAGCTTATCTTGTGAACAGCAAGACAGTTGGGTAGCTTCCCTTTAAGGCTTCCAAACAGAGAGATGGCCAACTTCAAGTTTTGAAGGTGCGCGTATACGTAGCACACACACGGTTCCTTTACTCGCATTACTAACTGCAAAACTCAAGTGTCATGCCTTAGGGCCTAGCCAAGTCAAACAGAGCATGATTATACAACATATACAGCCTATATATAAATCACAGGTGACTTCATTCATTCAATCAAATCACTTTCATGGCCTTGTTTGTAATTGAGGCAAGAAGAGCTATTTTTAAAATAGAAATTTTTAAATTAAAATTTCTGCAACCCAAAAAGGGCAACTGTGGTTCAAACAAAACATCTCTGCTGTAGTTTATCTTCTATCTTCCTTCTTTTATAGGAATAAAACAAAAATGGGATTTAAGACAAAGAATGATAACATGGAGAGCAGTACAAAATATATGTCACAATTAACTTCTCAGTATGATTACAAAAGAAAGCAAGATGATAATTATCAAAATGTGAGAAGATATGAAAAGCAGAAACAGTTAAAAGAAAATATGGCAAAATTTTCATTAAAGGTGCAGTATCCACATTAAAAGGTTGATTATATCAAACTAATGGCTATTGGATGACCAAATGAATGAGAAAAAGATTTAAAGCTTTTAATTACTGGATACCGAGGTTGTATTTATATTAATGTGCTTTGAAATGCAGGAAAATTATGTGGTGATATCTAAAACTTAAATCCACAACTTCTTGCTCTTTGCAGTCCTGCTGTAAAATTTACAAGCCACTTCATCATTCTTCTATTGTGGTCTTCTATGGTAATTACTCTTGTGCTAAATAGAGATGCAATTTAAAGCCTAAGATACTAAGAATGGCTAAAATAGCAGAGTCAAGTAACCTTATTTAATGAATACCTCCTCCCTCTTTAGTTTGACCTAAAGCCATTGCTCAATTATATCTCTTTCTTCTCAGATCACGTCTGACTTAAGAGCAAGTGCCCTGCCTTTTCATAGTACTTTAAGTCCTCCACAAGCTATCTCAATAATAAATCAACAATAATAAAATGACAAGATGCTGTTTTATTACCCAGGGGTAAGGAGCAGAATCTGAAATCCGTCATTCTGTTTCCATAATGCGTGTGGGCTTACCAAATACTTCAAGCATTATCGTGGAGGGAAAAGTCATCACCTTTTGTCACAGGCTGTGTCAATTCGAACTCAAATGTTTAGAGCAAAATGTTTAAAACCACTTCGTTTTCTCCCTCGGCCCCCAAGATCAAGCTCTTAAGTGCAAGTATCCTTTAAGAAAAGCTCAGGCCATTGGCTACACCTACAGCATGTATTATGCATCAGAAACACAAGCACAAGAAGGGAATTAGCTATCATGCCTTCACAGGAAGCATTTAGTTAACCCACCAGCTGTACCCAGGGTCCTCTGGAGTCGGAGGGCACGGACATCCATGCCAGATGCTTCGCTGTTATGAACCGACTAAGCTACTTGGACGAAGTACTGGGAGAGAAATGTCCTTACAGAAAATGTGGAAGACAAACACCGATTCTCCTTATACCACTGTTATGTGCTGAACTCCCCAGCCCGAGAAAAAACACAAACAAAAACCAGGCCTGATGGGCAACTGAAGCTGTAGAGGAAATGAGACTGGTTTCAAAAGTGTCCAAGTGGAGCTATCTAATTATGCCAGTGCTTGAAAGCCAGGTAGGTCAGTCACAACTCCGAAAGTTTAAAATACACATGGCAAGTAAAACACCCGGCAGGACTGTGCCACAGAGCAGTAGCAGCTCAAATGGTAGGAAGCCAAACTGCTATTGAAATTTGCAACTGTACAGGCATTGGCATGAGAGAAGTGGAATTATTTAACGATCCTAATTTTGCTTTTCTGATAGAAAGTGACTATTAAGAGCATGATGCATGTTTGTCCACAACACAATCTTTGGAAAATGAGGGCCCAATCCTCTGAGTTGCTAAGCACCTCTACATGGAGATGAACGTCTTCTGTTCTCATTAAAATTGTGGGGCACTGAGGGTACTTTGTGGACCTCATACGAATTAGCCCTGGACACAGCTGTGGCCCCAACATTTTGGGGAGAAAACTGCTAGTCAAAACGTGACTTAAGCTCATCAGCCTCCACAGCCATGTTACTCAGATAGCAGCAGGTTTGCTGGAGTTGAATTAGCCCTAGCTAGCTGACAGACTTGAAAAAAACAGCTTATGAATTCTTGCTGCTTTGTGAACTTGATACATCACTGAATACCTCTATAAATTTGAAGTCAGCCATATGTCATCAGGGGCTCAGACAATTTTTGTTCTGGCCAAGAACAGTAGAGGAATCACATCCCAACCTGAAAACATGTTGGGACAGCAAGATGTCTCCATCTAGATAAAGCCAGTTTTCTCTAACCTTTCAGCAACAGACCAGAGTTTGGAGGATAACAAATCTCCAAACAAAAGAACAACTAGGTTTTTTGTTCCCACGTCGTACAACATTGGGACTTAAAGGACAGAGCACAAAGACTTGGAAGGGGAAAGGGAAGTGAGGTAGGAAAGAACTGCAAGGACCAGACAAAGGGGAAGGAAACTGGTTGCACAGAAAAGACATACT